AAATAAAATACACAATGCCACCTAAAAAACGATTATCTTTGTCTCGAAATTCGAGAGAAGCTAAGAGAATGAGAAATGTGCGTCCTCAAAAATCGGCAGAGGAAAGAGCACATCGGTTAAACTCTATGAGAGTTAGTGGCGTCTCAAAGTTCTTCTCAACGAGAGCTAAGGCTTATCATTGACCGAGAACAACATGTGTTATCCCGAGAAGCTGAAACTGCTTCAGCTGACCGCGAACGGCATACATTATCTCGCGAGTCCGAAACCCACACTGAGAGGGAATTACGTCTCACATCTGACCGCGAACAGCATACATTATGACCAACCTAAGTTTCTTCAAATATATTTTGTATCCGACTACAACGAACAGTCGAATATAAGAAATCAATATTTCCCGAATTTAAATACTGAACTTATTTCACAACTTCAGAACATGTTGCATCAAGTTAATTCGTATGTATGCCGTTTTAAATCGGCATTAGAAGCTATTCCTCAAGATGGTGATAACAATTATAAAATTGTTATAAATGCCGATAGGCGTCCAACTCAGGAACACCCTGAGTGTTATAACGTTCCATCCACGAATGAAGTTGCTGTAGTATTAGTCGACCAGGAATGTGGTAATCGTGATATCGTTATCCGTTCCAGAGACAATCGTTTGCAACGTATTTACGAAACCCACAGGGCTTGCGACAGTTTGCAATATCCTTTGCTATACTCTCGAGGGGAAGATGGTTATAATTTCGCTTTATACGAAACTGATCCGCGTACAGTCGCACCTAATTATAATAAAAAGATGTCATGCCTTCAATTTTATTGTTACCACTTGCAAGTGAGACAGAATAGATTTGTATACTTTCAACGTTTTCGTGGCTTATTCAATCAGTTTATTGTTGACATGTACGCAAAAATTGAAACCGAAAGATTAGTTTATATACGATCTAATCAAAGGCAGCTGCGCGCTGAAGAATACGTGCACCTTCGCGACGCCATGCAGCAAGAAAATGATGCGATGAATATGGGCCGTTTAGTTATTTTACCCTCTTCTTTTACTGGTGGTCCACGCTACATGCACGAACGTACTCAAGATGCTTTTTGTTACGTAAGAAAATATGGACGTCCCGACTTATTTATTACTGTAACTACCAATCCCAAGTGGGATGAAATCACTCGGGAGCTTATTGAGGGTCAAGCACCGCATGACCGCCATGATATTATCGCAAGTTTTTCATTTAAAATTAAAATCAATGATAGATCTACTTACCAAAGATAACATTTTTGGAGATGTATTGTGTTATATGTATAGTGTTGAGTGGCAAAAACGCGGGTTACCTCACGCACATATCCTGCTTTGGTTAAAAGATAAGGTTCGACCTAATGATGTAGACAGTTCAATCAGTGTTGAAATTCCAGATCTGATTGCAGATTCCGTGTTATACGACATTGTTAAAACTCATATGATACATGGTCCATGTGGTGCATTTAACGGGAATGCTCCTTGCATGCAAGACGGTCGTTGCACTAAAAGATATCCAAAAGCATTAGTGGATGAAACTGTAACAGGACATGATGGATACCCATTATATCGTCGACGTTCAAGAGACAATGGTGGTTTTACTGTTGAAAAGCGAGTGTCTGGACAACAGGTTACTTTAGATAATAGGTGGGTCGTTCCGTATTCGCCTGTGATGTCTAGAGCATTTCAAGCTCACATAAATGTTGAAATATGTAATAGTGTAGAGTCAATAAAATATATTTGTAAGTATATTAACAAGGGCAGTGACCAAGCTACATTTGCGTTGAGAAATGAATATATTGCGCGTTGAGATATCCACCTATGACTCATCTGGATGTTCATCTTGAAGGCAGTCAACGTATATATTTCAACGCCGAAAATGTTACAGAACGATTAGAGAACCCTAGACAAACAACTTTATTAGCATTCTTTCGACTTTGCCAAACTGATGATTTTGCAAAATCTCTTTTGTATGAGGAAGTTCCATCGTATTATACCTACGATAAGCAACGAGGTGTCTTTAATCGTAGACGCCGTGGCAGGCCTGTAGATGGCGAGTCAGGTACTCGTATTTTCAAAGAACATGTTCTTGGTAGAGTGTATACCGTTCATCCTAAAAACGCTGAGTGTTTCTATTTGCGGTTATTATTACATACAGTGCGAGGACCAACATCATTTATAGATTTGAGAAAAGTAGACGATGTTGTTTATCCAACTTACGAGTATCATGCAGCTTGCCAAGCGCGTCGTTTGCTTGAAAATGATCTTCATTGGGATGACGCTTTAGCAGAATCCTATGTTAGTGATAATCCACGACGGTTACGCCATTTATTTGTAACATTACTCACATTTTGTAATTTGTCAGATGCTGTACAATTATGGGAAAAATATAAAGAAAAATTTGCAGAAGACTTTCTTCGGAATATATCTCACAATGATGAAGGCGCAACTAATGATAATTTCCGTGATCTTGCCATAAATCTGAGCTTATTAGCTCTTCAGGAAGACTTAACAGCAGTAGGCGGTAAATCACTCTGTGAATATGGTTTTCCAACACCAACCTCGGTCGGAGAGGTTGCCAATAGGGAATATTCTGCAGAGATTAGTTACAACTCAATGGAACTGCTGGCAACATTAGAAAACGGTGTCCCAATGATGACTGCAGAACAACGTTCAGTCTATGATCGCGTGTGCGAGTGTTCAGAATAATTTGGGAACAATATGGTTTTTAGATGCACCTGGAGGAACTGGGAAAACATTTTTGACTAAATTAATATTAGCTTATGTTCGAAATCAGCGTAAAATTGCTCTTGCCGTGGCTTCATCAGGTATAGCTGCAACATTGCTACCAGGAGGTAAAACTGCTCACACTATGTTTAAAATACCAATTGATTTAGATCGCACGGAAAGTCCAACCTGTAGTATTTCAAGAAATAGCGACAAAGCTAAGGTATTACGTGAGTGTAATTTAATCATATGAGATGAATGTACGATGGCCCACCGAAAAGGAGTAGAAGCGGTAGACAGAACTTTAAGGGATATAAGACAAAATGATCGACCAATGAGCGGTATCACGGTTTTATTTTGTGGTGATTTCCGACAAACCTTACCGGTAATACCACGGGGAACCCGAGCTGATGAGGTTAGGGCTTGCCTAAAAAGCTCTTATTTGTGGCGTGATATACAATCGGTACATTTGACTATAAACATGCGAGTGAGAACTGGAGATAACCCGGATGATCGTCAATTTTCTGATAAATTATTAAAGATTGGGGAAGGTACCTATCCACAACTACACCAAAGAAAACTTATTCTGACGCCTGAGTTATGTTGTATAGTGCAATCCCAACCACATCTTATATCGTCGTTTTACGGTGACGTAACAATTATATTAAATAGGGACAATTTTTGGCTATGCGAAAGATCCATTTTAACTCCTCGCAATGACCAGGCATCTGAGATTAATAACAAAATACTGTCGAATATACAGGGGGAAAGCAAAGTTTATAGTTCAATAAATAGAATGGTCGATGAACAAGAAGCCACTAATTACCCGATAGAATTTTTAAATTCTTTAAATATGACTTCCTTCTCATGAAATTTGTTTAAATATTGGCATTCCGATTATTCTGCTCCGAAATTTAAGACCACCACAACTTTGCAATGGAACTCGGCTAAAAGTAACCCAGTTGCAACAAAATATAATCGAGGCTCAAATTTTAACAGGTTGCAGTGCAGGAGAAACCGTCTTTATTCCAAGAATTCCCATAATACCAAATAATTTTCTATTCCAATTTAAAAGAACGCAATTCCCAGTATCATTGTGTTATGCAATGACAATTAATAAGGCTCAAGGGCAGACTTTTCGTGTTGCTGGAGTAGATCTCGGTGTCAGTTGTTTCTCGCATGGTCAGTTGTACGTCGCTCTTTCCCGGGTTAGCAGTTCTAGAAATCTTTATGTTCACGTGCCGGACGGGTCAACTTTCAACATAGTTTACCCGGAAGCTTTGCGCTGAAGTATTTTTGTTCTATAAGTACTTAAGCCTCATGTGAACGTGATCTAAACAATATTACCTATATATTAACTTAATAACACACGAGGAGTTACACTCCATCCAAAGCCCAGCGACACTATAACATATATAGGAATGACGTCTTAGCAAAAGTTCTTTAGTCTGATGGGCATTTCCTGTTGACTTACAAAAATGAAAGATCTAGAATATCTCGAATCGTCTCGCGAATCACGTTGTTTTCCCGTCCCCGGGCTCTTAGAATTCAACATCAGACGTTTCAGATCTTCGATTTTGACGACCCCGTTGTCACTGGCAAAGCAACAGGATCAGCATACGAAGTCGCGGGCAGAAGCTAGTAGATAATAAATTTAATAAAAATGAATTGTTAATTTATTTAAATATGAATCTAAATTGCTCAGTTTCCTATAATTACTTTAAAGGTTGATAGCCAAAGCTAAGAACAATAGCAAACATATATGGAAAAATGCATAAAGATTAAAAATAAATGTGTACTTTTTTTTCCTGAATTTCTCATAAGTACTATATATTGTATCTTTTTGGGAAAAATACTATATTTGTTCAAAAAAGGTAGCAACCCTACCCCTGAGGGCTATGATGGAATGCCTGATTTCCGCTAAAAATGGTTTCCAGACCCACCATGCAAAGTAGCAGCATTAAGCTGCTATTTTATACTGGTATTCTGTGTGTGCGGTGCTTCCCCAGTCGACCCGCACAGTATGAGTAGCACAAATGGGTCACTAGAACCATAATATAGCTGCAACATGGCTCTACCACATATATTTGTACCATAAGATTTACCTGGCAGTTCCTATAGATGTCGCTTACAATAACCACGGAAATGAACGAGGTGATTAGATTCTCTTACGCCGCCGCTACAATTCAATTACTTGTTAGTCTTAAAAATAATAGTCAGAAATTTAAAAAGATGTGACAAAACATTTCATACTTGCCTTACATCTGCATACAACCAAAGTATCAGATTAGCAATTTTCGTATAAACGAAAGAAGCAGACAGGTAATTGACCATAGTTACACTGCCCGCTTTTCGAGTCCTTAACATAACTACAATTATTAAGAAAAACAGGATTTCCGTTTCGCGACTGTCCAACTCGCAGTCAACATCGGGAAACAAGAAATTGCAAATTAAAGCTGTCCTTTTACACGTAACGTAGGAAATGCTGAGTAGGATATTTATCCAGTAATAAGGTTTGAGTAACTGCTTTAAATCACTTCGAAATGACATGATTTTAATTTATGTTTTATTTTTCTAAGCCCGAGATAAAGAATGCACACGATCCCGGTCAATTGCCGGTCGATTTGATCCACAGACAGAACACTAATAGCAAAGAGTATAATAACTGTCCTATACAGGAATAATACCCTAAAGGCTGCTGGACACGGGTAGAGTAAACGGTAGAATAGAGCGGTAGAGTTCTAACTATCCTACTTACTATACTTATGTAGCCACCGCTGGTAGAGTAGAGTACTGAAATTTGGTAGAGTAGAGTACTGAAATTTGGTAGAATAGAGTAGGCTAGCACCGTGGGAGAGTTACTCAACCACTTTCCTTCCCCCACCCCGGCGTCCACTCTACTCTACCGAGTACTCGACCTATGTAAACGGTTTGTAGAGTAACTAGTTTAGACTTGTTTACAAAAGGCACATGACATTGTTTACTAAAGTTGTACGCAGTTTTTTTAGTAGTAGTGATTTATGAAAAAAATATCATGAAGTGGGCTGAATCAGAAACTTTAAAACTAGTGGAGCTTTACGGGGAGTTTCCGTGTATCTGGGATATAAGCCACCGTGATTATAAAGATAAGAACAAAAGGAATGCGGCCTATGAATATATTATTCGTGCAATGAGCAAGGAAAACTTTGGAGTTTCTGAATTAAAACAAAAAATCAAAAACCTCCGATATACTTATAACCAAGAACGAATGAAAATAAAAAAATCTCAAAAGTCTAGCAGTGGAAGTAACGAAGTTTACGTGCCTTCTTTAAAATGGTACTATGTAATGGATACATTATTAAAATCTATTACACGAAGCACCGAGACTCAGGATAACTTTGAAGGAACAATACAATCTGAGGTACGTACCTAGTGTTTATTAAAACAATATTTTATTACATTATTTAGGATATATGACGATATTGCCAGGGTACAGCTCCATCGTTGTTGAAATAGTCCTTCATTCGGTCACGTATTCTCTTAGCTAAATTGGTGCTTTGAATACTCCTAAATCTCTCAAGATTACGCAATTCTTCAATCTCGGTTCTCCAACTACCGGATATAATTTCTCCAGTATGTATATTTTCTTGATCGACCGCACTTGCTAGCAAATAATAAGGCGATGATTCACGCAGCCAGTTGTGAATAAAACAGGCTGCAAACACAAGTTTGCGAATTGTGGAAGGTTTCAAATCTATTTTTCCATCAAATATCCGAAACTTGCTCATCAAAATACCGAATGCATTCTCCACAATTCTTCTTGCTCGGCTCAGACGATAGTTAAAAATTTTTTCAGGTATTGTTAAAGGACCTCTGTAAGTTTTATATGGTTTTAATAAGTATGGCTTTAATGGAAAAGCATCATCACCAAGTAGGAATAATCCTTCAGGCAAAAGTCCTCTTTTTAATTCATCTGAAATCGGCCAATTTTTAAAAATACCACCATCTGATTGTGATCCTTCGGCACCAACATTGATGTACAGAAACTTGTAGTTAAAGTCGACAACTGCCATTAACACAATACTATTCGAGCCCTTGTAGCTGAAATATTCGCTGCCACAATTTGGAGGGGCTAGTATCAAAATATGTTTGCCGTCGATGGCACCACAACAGTTTGGAAAGTTCCAATGAGTTTCAAATCCACTACTTAATGTTTTCCAGTTGTTTTCTGAAGCTGGTACCTGCAATCAAAAGAAAATAACCTAATTATATACTTTAATTACATAATGCAATATCAGAAAACGAAACTGAAGTCTCAACAAATGCACATGATCCACAGCCATCGTCAGTCTCAATAAATGACTCACAAGAGCCAACAACCATTACTGCACAAAATATTGAAGATTCACAGTCAGCGCCAATTCAGATAGCTCCAACATTAAGGCAAGGGAAAAGGAAAGACATCCAAAAATAAGAAACCCAAGAAGCAACTCAATCAATCTTATCCCAAGCTTGGAATTCTACAAATAGTTCAAATACCGATACGTGTTTTTCCTTCATTTTTTTCTTATTATAAAGTTACATTTACGAATTTGTCTTTTATTATTAAATTGCTTACACTAATTGTGCGTCACCACAGCGAAACACATAGAAATAGATATGTTTTTACTAAGCATTATTACTTAAGCTATTTTTCTCTTCTTCAAGAGCCTTCGTTACCTCCTTCAATAATATATCTGATAAGTTTATTAGAGCGTTCCTTACAATTTCTCGATGAGTCGAATCGACGTTCATTGTTCTAGCGTTTCTTACCGAGTAACTTAAAAGCTTTACTCTACTAACAAAATGAAAATTTACATGTAGACAGTTACTCTACTAAAACTGGTAGAGTACTGAGAACCGGTAGAGTAGTATGCTAGTTCACTCTACTGTTTACTCTACCCGTGTCCAGCAGCCTTTAAGCGGGTTCTTCTTCTTCTTCTTCTTCTTTTAAATTATGGCTTCTCTTGATAGAATTCTGCCAGTGTCAAGTCAGTCATGGGAGTGACAAGTAAATATTTATTACATTAAAGAGTTCTCAATTTTACAAGTGGGTTCACAATCTACAACAAAAGACGTCACATTTTTAAGTACCATCACCAAAATTGATTAGTAATTTTACAGTTTAATATTATTAGTACGAATAAAATCACACAAAATATTTACAAAAGGAGTATACACTAAGGACAACAAATACTGGAAATTTACAGGACGCGGGATGTAGTGGGGCAGGATATCATAGAGAAAGTGAGAAAGTTTAGGACCCTCAAAGAACAGATGGTTTACGGATCCTTCGTCTAGCCCACATTCACATATTGAGCTATCCCTAATCCTTAGTTTAGCCAAGTGTACCGGAGTACAAGCATGTCCAAAGCGAAGGCGACAAACAGTGGAGGTGATTGATTTATTAAAGTGACGATATTGAAAGAACCAGGGTTTTGATGGGATATTAATTTGGACTTTGGAATAGTGTTTACATTTTAAAAGTTTAGACTGATGCCAGATACTTTGCCATGTAGACAGAAGGCTGGATCCAGCCTTTGGTAGGAGGTCATATGCATAGAGGCATTGTTTAGGGAGGGAGCCAGATTTGGTGGCTTCTTTAGCTAAATGATCCGCAATTTCATTACCCTGAATCCCGTAGTGGCTAGGGATCCAAGCCAAAACAATTTTCAGCCCTTTTTTATGGCAGTTGAACAGAGACTTTCTAATATTTAAAATTAGGGGGTATCTTATCTTAGAGTAAAAAGGACTGGATGCAATGCTTTGAAGGCAACTGAGGGAGTCTGAGAAGATGAGAGTCCTTTCCAGATTGTGAGATTCCGCATATAAGACTGCCTCTAAAATAGCTAAAGACTCACCTGTGAATACAGATGAGTCAGGCGGAGAGTTAAAATTTAAAATAATCTTGTATTTGGGGATCCAGACTGCGGACCCAACTAATCCCTCGTCACTTAACTTTGAAGCATCAGTGTACATAATTAACCAATCATGCGAATTTTGGAGGAGGAGCATATTTAATTTGTTATTTACTTCAATAGTATTCTTATCTATTCCGAAATTTAGAATAATGTCTGGGTTGAAAATTAGAGCCTCGTATGGGATAATGAAAAGTGGATTGCTATAGGATTGATAAACAGGAGAGTGAACATTGACTAATTTAATATAACTTTTTATAATACATGGCAAATCCTTGTGGGACCAATATGGAGAGTCCCTGACCGACTGATACAAGGAACGAAGTTTGGAGAGGAGAGGATGGTGTGAATAACAAGCAGCTTTGAACAGAAACCTATCTGAGAGATATTGTCTACGTAGAAATAAGGGGGGCTCAACACATTCAACTTGTAGAGCAGAAATGGGAGTAGATTTCATGGCACCTGTTATTATACGTAGACATTTTGACTGAATTTTGTCCAAGGTATTAAGAGCCATTTTGCTACATGGTTCCAGTAAAAAGCAGCCATAGTCAAAATGACTTCTAATAAGAGCATTGTATAAAAGCTTCTGGGAGTAGGGGTGGGAACCCCACCAGGCTCCTGACAGGGATCGGATTACATTGAGGTTTTTTTTCACATTTGGAAGCAATATATGATAGATGAGGAATTCCTGTCATTTTGTTATCCAGAATAACTCCTAGAAATTTCACCTGATTTTCAGTGGGGATTAGGGTATTTTCAATATATATGGACACTTCTGGTATTTGCCTTCGCCTAGAGAAAACCACAGTACTGCATTTCAAAGGAGATATTGATAGGCCATGCTCAAACAGCCAGTTATTAAGATAGTTGACAGCTTGGGATAAACGGGAGGTAGCTTTGGCAGTAGAGGCATCAGTTACAAACAAAGCTATGTCATCTGCATATTGCAGGACATTACCTAAGTAATTCACAGATCTGTCTAGATCATGAGTGTAAAGGCTGTATAACAAAGGGCTCAAGACAGAGCCTTGTGGTAGTCCCTTCCAGGTAAATCTAGCTGGTAAAAATCTTCCTTCAGAACGGACTAATATGCGTCTATGTGAAAGTAAGTTTGATACGAAATTTGTTATTCTCTCAGGAATGTTCAGCTGATGCATTTTTTGCCTGAGCAGTGGGAGAACAACATTATCGTATGCCGCACAAACATCAATAAAAACGCCTACCAGAAAATTGTTATTGGAGAAGGCAAGTCTTATATCGGATACTAAAATGCTAAGGCTATCCATTGTGCTAAAACCTTTTCTAAAACCAAATTGGCTCTTTGGTATAATGCCTCTATTTTCAAGAATCCACTCGAGTCGATTTTTTACGAGGTACTCCATGATTTTAGACAAGGTTGATGAAATAGCAATATGGCGATAACTTGATGATGAAGAAGGGTCTTTACCAGATTTTAGAATGGGTATAATAATATGAGTTTTCCAATCATGAGGAATGGAACCGGTTGTAAAAGCAAAGTTAATCATGTTTAAAAAGAACTGCTTACACTTAGTACCCATATTAACTAAAAATGAGTAGGGTATACCATCAATGCCAGGAGTGGAATCCTTTAGGTGCCTAAGTACTAACTGCAGTTCAGCTATTGAAAATGGTTCGTTAAGGTTATTAAGAGAGTTAGATGGATGAGGAGGGAATGATTTAGAGTTAGGAAATATCTCTGCACAAAAAACAGGTAAATGAGAAAATTGTGTTTGTTCCTATTAATGCAAAACGCCTGGAGAGATTTAGAAGTAATATGTTAAAAATCCTTCCATCCCTTTCTTATAAGAACAATGCAGACTGTTTATATAGAGAATTATTTACCTTTATAAACAATGAATTTAATAAAACATTCACTTCTAAAACATTCTCCAGAAACAGTCGCAAGGCATTTAATGAGTGGGCGACAGTAGGAATTTATAAAAGCAGACGAAGGTTATATGACCTTTACCATGAAAGATCGTATAATCTTTCCGATGCTTTTAAAGAATATGTAAAAAATTATTCTAAAATGTTTAAAAGAGTTTGCTCCACAGCCAAATCATTACATATTAGTAACAAAATTAAGGCAGCTAAGAATAAAATTAAAATGACGTGGAGTATAATTAACAGCGAAACCGGTAATGAGAAACCTCGTAATTCAAACTATCAATTAAAAATTAATAATGAATTGACTAAATCAAATCAAGAAGTTGCAGCGGTGTTTGAGAAATATTTCACTGATGTTCCTATCTTGACAACAGAGTCATTGAATGCTTCTCCAACTGTCGCCGAATCATTACTTAAACAGAATGTTAATACCTGTTTAAAAGAATTTAGATTTGAAAAAGTATTACCGCATAATATTGTAAAATACTTCAAAACCATTGATGTAAAGAAAACCGCAGATTTGTGGGGGATTTCCGTTACAGTGATTACGTCCATAATAGATTTAATTGCACCTCATCTTGCTATTATTTTTAATACTTGTATCGATTCTGGTGTGTTTCCTGATTTAATGAAGTATAGTAAAGTAATACCTTTATTTAAATCTGGTAGTACATTGGACCCCGCTAATTATAGACCTATTTCTGTACTACCAACTCTCAGTAAAATTTTTGAAAAAATAATTTTGGATCAATTGTTAATTTTTTTTAATACAAATAAATTACTTCATAAAAATCAATTTGGTTTTACAAGGGGTCGCTCGACGTCTGACGCCGGTGTTGAGCTTATGAAATATATTTTTAATGCCTGGGAGAATTCACAAGATGCCTTAGGTATTTTCTGTGACCTTTCCAAGGCTTTCGATTGTGTTCATCATGATACATTAATCAGGAAACTACAACATTACGGTGTAAAAAATTTGGCGCTTAAACTTATTACTTCATATTTAAGTAACAGAACTCAAAAAGTCGTCATTAATGGTAAATGTTCCTCCGGATCGGTAGTATCAATGGGCGTTCCTCAGGGCTCGATTCTTGGCCCATTCCTGTTCTTAATCTATATTAATGACTTACCTTATCTTGTAGGGGACAATCACGATATAGTATTATTTGCTGACGATACCTCTTTAATTTTCAAACTGAAACGGCAGTCAATTAAATATGACGATGTAAATAATGCTCTATCGAAACTAGTACATTGGTTTAACGCCAACAATTTGCTCTTAAACGGCAATAAGACAAAATGTATTAAATTTACAATACCTAATGTAAAACATTCGAAAACCAATGTGCTCTTAAATGGGGAGGAGTTGAGTCTTGTGGATACCACTGTTTTTCTCGGTATTACTATTGACGCGAAACTTCAATGGGGCCCCCATATATCTAAATTAGCAAGCAGACTTAGTTCTGCAGCATATGCTGTAAGAAAGATTAGAAGTCTCACAGATGTTGAGACAGCTAGGTTAGTGTATTTTAGTTACTTTCATAGCGTAATGTCTTATGGAATTTTGCTATGGGGTAATGCGACTGATATTGAAGCTATATTTGTTTTGCAAAAGAGAGCCGTACGGGCGATTTATAATCTAAATTGTAAAGAGTCCCTTAGAGAAAAATTTAAAGAAATAAACATATTAACTTTGGCATCGCAATATATTTATGAAAATGTAATGTATGTACATAAAAACATAAATAGCTTTAATAAGAATAAGGATGTTCATACCTTAAACACTAGGAACAAACATAAGCTTGTAATGCCACTTACAAGACTCCACAGAATTAGTAATTCATTTATGGGGCAATGTATACGCTTTTACAACAGAATCCCAGAACATGTTCAAAGTTTGTCAATAAACAAGTTTAAAAGTTTTATTAAAGAAAAACTGTACAAAAAGGGTTATTATAATATCAAGGAATACATGAGTGAAAATAACCCCTGGGAATAAGGTGATCGCCACCATGCTGGTTCTATGAAAATTCATTTAAAATTGTATAATCAAAATTATTGTTAAGTGAAATTATGTTTAAAAAAAAAAGTCCCGCTGGGTTTCTTGCTGGTTCTTCCCAGGACAGAGGTATTTTCCGAACCAGTGGTAAATAAAATAATGACTTTCAATAAGTATTATGTAATAATCCATATTGAATAAAAATCATTCTATTCTATTCTATTCTATTCTATTTTTCTTCCAATGGAACCCAGGGGGAGCCAGTCTGTTACTGAAGTCGTCTAACCAGTGGGAAGGATCTGCACAAGGGGGATTACTATAATTTAAAGCACCACGGAAGCGCCTGATACTTTTCCAAACAAGAGAAGAAGGTGATCGGGGAGATAAGCTCTCACAGAATGAAAGCCATCCTTTTTTTTTCTTTTCGGAGAGAAGTTTTTTGGTCTGAGCAGCTATTTTTTGATAGTCTAGAAAATTTTCCATGGTCATGTTAGAGGAATATAGTCTTTCTGCAGCCTTTCGTTTTCTAATAATTGAGGAGCAGTCAGCATCCCACCATGGAGGTGAAGAATTTTTGGGAAAATTTTGCTGGCTATATTATTCAGAAGGGTTATAAATTGGGAGTAGACACTCTGAAAGTTATCTAAAGAAACTGTGGGAAGTTTATTGATATGAAGTTCTGATTCTGAGGAAAATACGTCCCAATCAGCTTCAGACAGGTTGAATTTGAAAAGGGGAGAAATACTTCGAGCAGGGACACATCTATTACTTAGGTTTAAGAGGATGGGAAAGTGATCACTACCAAAAGAGGTAGGAAGAGTTTTCCATGATATGCTAGCAGCCAAGATTGGAGAGCACAATGACAAGTCTACTACGGATCTAGTATTCTGCGAAGGGTAGGACATTCTGGTGGGAGAGCCATAATTTGGAAGACAAAGATTAAATTCATTGAAGACATCAAGTAGCAAATAAGAAAAAGAGTCAGTTTTATGGGAACCCCACATAACATTATGGCTGTTGAAGTCTCCTAGAACAATGTAAGGTGGGGAGATGCTTGATAGGATTAAATTGAGTTCTGGAATACAAGAAGGAGTGGGTGATGGAATGTAGATGGATAGAATTGTGATGTCCAAAGCTTTAACAGCTACTGCATTAATATTGCCTAGTATAGGAGGAAGCTGGATAGGTGATAAGGGAATGGTCCTGTTTAGTAGGATCAGAGCACCGCCATAGCCGTCACTCCTATCACTACGATAACAGGAGAAGCCTGGGATTCTAAATGGGGACCCTGGCTTAAGCCAGGTTTCCGATATTGCGAGTATTGAAGGATTATAAGAGTTAATTCAGTGAATTATATCAGGTTTCTTATTCCTGATGCTCCGACAATTCCACTGGAGGAGGGTTAGGGACTCGAACCTTATATATTCTGGAGAAGAGGATATCTAGTTTGTTTTTCACGTTGAACGGTAAATGGGAATCATCAAATTTGGGGGTCACTGTAGAAGCGTGCTCGTCGCGACCCCTGCCAGCCCTTTTCAGGGCTGCAATTCTACTAGCTGCGCACCCATGCCAACGAGGGTTAGGGCGTCCCCCCAAGGCGACGCACACCAGCTCGTCCCCGTTGGTGTGGAATGCAGCGTGCAAAGCGGCGATGGGGACCGCCACCCGTCACGCACAGCCCGACACGGCGGAAGGTGGAGGACAGAGTGCAGAGTTGGCACGTGGAATGTTAGAGGAGGCATGAGAGATAAGACGAATGAGTTGATCGAAATAATGAAAGAAAGAGAATTAGATGTCGTGTGTATGTCGGAGACCAAACGGAAGGGCAGTGGTACTGAAGAGCTCCCTGGCGGGGCGTTAGCTCTATGGTCAGGAGTCCCGGAGAGCGAGAACGCCTGCCAGGGAGTGGGGGTGCTGCTGTCTTCTCGATTGGTCGATGTTATGACTGAATATAAGGTTGTGAACTCAAGACTTCTCTAGGTTCGCTTTAAATTGGGACTGACGAAGTTATTCCTTTTGGCTGTTTATGCGCCGGTAGCTTCGTCGTCCAGGGCTGAGCTGGAGGAGTTTTGGGAGAATGTAAGAGAAGTTCTAGATTTGGCTAGGGGAAACGAAAGAATTGTTGTATGTGGTGATTTGAATGGATGGGTTGGTACCGCTCGACCAGGGTACGAGTCGGTACTTGGCAAGTTTGGCGATAAAAGGGTTAATGATGCTGGCAAGCTTATACTGGCGGTGTGCAAGGAAAAGGGTCTTCTTGTGACAAACACTATGTTTAATCACAAGAAAATCCATATGTATACTAGAGAACGAAAGAATGAGAGAAGTATGATTGATTTGTTCCTGGTGGATGACCGACTGCGAAAACAGGTGATGGATACGCGAGTGTTCAGGGGTGCTGACCTGGGAACGGATCACTATCTAGTGATTACTAGATTTAGGGGTCTGTTCGCGGGTTGGCGCTACCGGACGGCAGTAACAGAACCACAGTCGGTCTGTCGCATCCGAAGCTGGAAGCTTCAGGAAGCGGATACTAGGGACAAATATCATGCGAGGGTAGCCGAAAAGCTTGACACCATCGATGGCAGAAAAGAATGTGTAGAAAGAACTTGGCAGAAC